ACTCTGAAAAAATGGGCTTGGATGGGAAGGCTGGTGAGTGGCAGCTCATCTACTCTCAGTTCAACTCTACAAACCTTGACTTGTACTTCTTTAGTGTCAGGGTAGACCAAGATCTAGGGAAAGATAAAAAAATTGAAAAGACAGCCAGGCGCTGGTGGTTCAAACCTGTAATGTTCGCTACTGAGGAGGGTGAGATCTAAGGATTGTGGTTTGAAGCTAGCCCAGGAAGGAAAGTCCATGAGACTCTCATCTACAATTAATCACAGAAAAAGCTGGAAGTGGAGTTGTGGCTCAAGTGGTAGAGTGCCAGCCTTGAGCACAAAAGCTCAGGGGCAGCACCCAGGCCCTGAGTTTAAGGTCTACAAGAAAAGTTCAAAAGATAAAACAATGGCTACTTTCAGTGAGTTTCCACCTTGCAGTGTATCCCAACAGAAAATGAGGCCAACGTGGGCCAGTGAGCCTCAGCACACTTCATAATGCACCTCTCCACCACCACCACCACTCTGCAGACCCGGCAGTAATAATTAACCTGTGCCAAAGATCCAGGCTGACATGAGGTGTCTGTTTATCAAGATGTCTAGCCCAGCAAGTAAAATCCCATAATAAGCAATAAACCCATTTCCTTTTCCTTTTTTCCTCTTCCTCAGCAGAGAGAAAGGGACGGGGGAGAGAGGGAGGAAGAGATGGAGAGATCCCTGACTCGCAAGGGCATTCATCCAACTCTTTTTTGAAGTCCACCAGGGCTTCACATATACTGGGAAGCCTCCACACTCTTTCCAGCCCCAGCCCCAGCTCTGCATTTCAAACTGGCCTCAACTGTCAAGTAGAAAAAGATCTCAGCAGAAAAGCTACAAGAAGTTTTCTGTTGGTCTGTCTGGCTTTAGCCTATAGGGTCCCACACAAGTGCTTGACCACTTAAACAATGCCCCTAGCCCTGTGTTTTGTTTTTGAGATAATCATCTCATTAACTATAACCAGTGTAGCCACAAACACACAATCTTGCTGCCTTCACTGGAACTACAGGCATGTGCTAACACCACCTACCCGGATCCTTACCACTTTATATCTTACCCACCTTCCACCCCCAACCTCAACACAAAGACCAGAATTCTGAAATCTAACTCACATGTTAATGTTACAAAGCTGTTTCAACCCTGAATAAGTCAGTCAGAGTCCTCTTCTAACCTATCTGCCCAGATTCAGAACCACTTCTAAAGTTCACAAAAGCAATCACAGCAGTGACCTGCCCCTCCCACCCCACCCCTGCCAAAAAATGTGCCACCTTTGCATTTCTTCACCTAAAACAACAACAAAAACCTGACTGTCTGGAGTCAGAATTCATTCATTTTTTTTCCCAACAAATATTTACTCAGCCCCTACTGTGTGCTCTGGAACATTTTCTTCTCCCTAGATGCCTGGGCTACCTTGAAAATCACTAATTCCTCCCTTGCTGAGCCGATCCTCAGCCAGGGTCCTACCTCTGCTGTGCAGAACTGCCAACCTGCTCCTTCACAATGAACTGCTCTGCTCTCCTCCAGCCTTTCTCTCCTTCCTCCTGGCTTTCTCTCCATCATCCCTTCACCATTCAGCTACTCTTGCTGCTTGTTCTTCCCCAACATCCTGTCCCCAATGTCTGATACTGGCTAACCCACACTGTTACGGCCCCTGAAAAGAAAGGGTGGGCAGAATTTATTAACTGAGGGAATCCAACTAGTGACCAGTGCAGCTTATCAACTCCTATAAAATAATCATAGGAACAGTAATAGTTATTACTTAAAATTGAGATGATGAGGCTGGGAAGGTAGCGCTGGTCTTGAATGCTTGAGGCCCTGGGTTCGAATCCTCAGCACCACATAAGCAGAAAAAAAAGCCAGAAGTGGCGCTGTGGCTGAAGTGGTAGAGTGCTAGCCTTGAGCTGAAGAGCTGAGGGATAGCACCCAGACCCAGAGTTCAGGCCCCACAACCAGACCCAAAAACAAAACAAAACAAACAAGAAAATTGAGATGATGGACCCACCGCAGCAATTAGGAATGATTGCATCATGATGGGGGTGAGGGGACTGTCATTGGGTGGCAGAAGAAGCACAATCATAGCAAGTACAAGTTTCAGCACCGTAACACACAAAAAAAAGAAGAGTCAAGTCAAGCGCTGGTGGCTCACGCCTACAATCCTAGCTACTTGAGAGGCTGAGATCTAAGGATCTCAGTTCGAAGCCAGCCAAGGCAGGAAAGTCCATGAGACTCTCACCTCCAATAAACTCAGAAAAGGCCAGAAGTGGCACAGTGGCTCAAGTGGTAGAGCGCTAGTCCTAAGCAGAAGGTGAACTGGCAGAAAAAAAGAAACGAGGATAAAAAACGGTCATCATGATGGAGGATGGAATCTGGAGATAAAATCTTCAGGAGATGAGGGTGTGTGGTGGTTAAGGTAGTAAAGCCTGGTGGAGACCATCTGGTAACAGGAGATGAGGCACAGGAGGAAAAATGGGTTGGAGAATGTAGGGTGGATACAACTCCCTCCCCTCCAAGGAGAGAAGCACTGAAAGGGGCCAGTGTTCCTGCAGAAGCAAATCTCTGCTGTAGCAAGCAGGTACCAAGAACACTCAAGCCCTAGGCTACACCAAGAATGCTGCTGAGGTCACTGTGGAAAGGTTTCAGAAGTTAGGAAGGTGGAACATGGGGTCAAAAAAGGGGATATTCAAGGCCACATTGGAGTCAGAATCGAAAAAATGAGAGAGAGAACCCAGAAGAGCAGCAGGGCTGAGCCAACAGAAGGACTTCATGGGATTAGACCTGAGAGTATTAGAATAGGAAATAAAATTTGCATGTTATCATTATGTATAGTATTCTCTTTTTTTGCATGCTGGTCCTTGGGCTTGAATTCAGGGTCTAAGCACTGCTCCTGAGTTGTTTTTTTTGTTGTTGTTTTTTGTTTTTTGTTGAGTTTTTGTTTTGTTTTGTTTTTTGCCAGACCTGGGGCTTGAACTCAAAGCTTCTTTTGCTCAAGGATAACACTCTACCATGAGCCACAGCACCACTTCCAGCTTTTTCTGTTTATACGGTCCTGAGGAATTGAATCCAGGGCTTCATGCAAGCTAGACAAGCACTCTACCACTAAGCCACATTCCCAACCCCCTCCTGAGATTTTTTTTTTACTCCTGGCTAGTGCTTTACCACTTGAGCTACAGCTCCACTTCTGGATTGTACTTTATTGGAGATGAGTCTCATGGACTTTCTGCCCAGGCTGGCTTGAAACTGTGTTCATGAAATCTTAGCCTCCTGAGTAGCTAGCATTACAGGCATGAACCACCAGCACCTGGTTTGTATAGTACTCTTGAATCAGGTCCCTTATAAACATATTGTTCTTTTATTGGCATACATTAGCTGTACATTGTGATATCTTTATAGATGTATCTAATATATTTGGATCCTGTCCATCCCTCATATTATTCTTTCTTATAGGTCAAAATTATGAGCTTGTATACTTTTATCCTGTTAAGTAAAATAATGTAGTTCCTAACTGCAGTTCAATCAAACTAAATTTTGTGCATAATATATTCATGTTAAAATGAAACTGAATAGGACCTATAAAGTAGGTAGTAACATACTGATATTGTTATAGACCTACCACACCCAGAATCTAGCCAAGAACTTGGCCCTAAGTAACCACCAAACAGTTGTTGAATGCAGGAGTGAATGAATTTGATAAACATGTAATGCTCCTCTGTCGTTTTCCTAGAGGAATACTGGTTCTTTCCCTCCTACTTCCCATTCCTGTTCTTGTTCATATGGCTGCACTTGTCCCTTCTTCCCATTGGCTCCTGAGGTTCTGAATCTATATTCAAGCACCAGTAAAAGCTACTATTGTGAGTTTCCAAGATCTATGTTCAGGAAATGCCTTTAAGTTTTCCTTTTGTTTCCTGTGATTTTAGGTAGTAGCTCCCAAATGACAAAAATTAAAGCAAACAATTAACACATAAAGGAAAACTGTTACATTTCTTCATAACTATGGCTTTAGAGCTGCATTTCTTGCAAAATGTTTTCCCTGTCTTTTTCCTAGATCCTTTAATGCTCACTTTATCTAAGTCATAATTCTCCATCTTCTCCCACACCCTGATTCCATACACCATTTACAAAACGATGTGGTACAAAGGTTTGCTGCTTCAAAACAAGGATATATTTACTTTCCTCAAATTCATTTCATCCAGGTCTAAACACCCAAATACTGACCAAAGGACATGGGAAGCTGCAAGAGGACCTAAACTACACCTCATATATAATCGTTTATAATGTTTTGCAGCAAAGAACTCTATGTCTGTGTTTCTGTGGATCTGGAAATGCAGCCCTAGAGGATAAGAAATGTCTCCTAATTTCAGTAAGGCTTACTTTGGCAAGTAGTTAGAAATAAACCAAAAATAAGACGCAAGCTAATTTCTGCTGTTTAAAAACAATATAGCCTTTAATCGAATCAGAGATTGGTTTCAAAAGAAATGTCATTCTCCTTCATTGAATCTCATCTAAAAGAATCACTGGAGAACACAGAGTAGGAGTTAGGCTCAAACCAAATAAAAGAATCTATGAGAAACACAATAAGTAGCACACCTGAAACTAGTTTTTACCCTCTGCTTTGTGTGAAATTCAATAACAGAGCAAGCAAACAAGTGAAGCAAACAATGAAAATGGCACATGGGGTTTTTCTCAATCACTATAAACTGCACACTCTTAAAAAGACTTTGACACTGCAGTTGCCTCTAGTCATGTTTACTGTTCTTCCAGCACTGGTTCTGACCTTAAAAATGCTCTCTATTGGAGCCTCCTATCACTGAACCCAGTCTTGAACTCTTTTATTTAAAAAAAAAATTACCTCTCCTCTGAAATAATATTCTTGCTCGTATGAAGACCTGTCAAAAAAATCTTAACAAATGCTTAAGAAACTAATATAGTATTTACATGTTTTAGAAATAATTTTGAGATAGAAGTATAATTCATAGACAGAGCACTTACCTGGCATGGGGAAGACCTTGGGATTGATTCCCAGCACTGTAAAATAACAAAAAATAAAGACTTTATTCAGTCTACTGTGATCTTCTAAAGCAGAAAATTTTTTTTTTTTTTTTTTTTTGGTCGGTCGTGGGGCTTGAACTCTGGGCCTGGGCGCTGTCCCTCAGCTCTTCAGCTCAAGGCGAGCTCTCTACCACTTGAGCTACAGTGCCACTTCCGGTTTTCTGGTGGTTTATTGAAGATAGGAGTCTCACAGTCTCTCCTGCCCGGGCTGGCTTTGAACTGCGATCCTCAGATCTCAGCCTCCTGAGTAGCTAGGATTACAGGCGTGAGCCACCAGCGCCCGGCTTTAAAGCAGAAAAATTTTAAAAAGCATGGTATCTAATCGCTTTAATGTAACTGCTAATATACTGCTTAAGAATAACAACACACGCTACAACAAAAAGGAATGAACCTCATTATGAGTGGGACTAGAAAAGATTGTGCTCTGGGAAGTGAATGTATTTAGGCCATGAGGAATCCTAGACCTTCCAGGCCGGATGGGCCACCATAAGGTCAATGAATTAAACACCAGGAATTTGAGAGAGCAGATGAGTTAGAAGAAAGAGTTTATAAAGTTGTTTTCAGTAATAGCCTCTTACATGGAATGAGGAAGTCAGATTCATTATATATTTGAAAATATAAACAACCATATTCAAAGTGTCTAATCTAGGGCTGGGAAGGTGGCTCAGTGGTAGAGTGCTTGCCTTGCATGCATGAGACCCTGGGTTTGATTCCTCAGTACCACATAAGCAGAAAAAGCCAGAAGTGGCCTTGTGGCTCAAGTAGTAGAGTGCTAGCCTTGAGTTGAAGAGCTGAGGGACAGTGCTCAGGCCCAGAGTTAAAGCCCCATGGGGCTGGGATGGTGGCTCAGTGGTAGAGCACTTGCCTTGCATGCCTGAGGCCCTGGATTCAATTCCTCAGCACCACATAAGCAAAAAGAAAAGAGCCGGAAGTGGCGCTGTGGCTCAAGTGGTAGAGCACTAGCCTTGAGCTGAATAGCTGAAGGACAGCACCCAGGCCCAGAGTTCAGGCCCCATGACCGGATCCCTCAAAGTGTAATACAAAACAAGGTAGACAATGAGTCATAGAGTGGTGGCATCTTCTATTCTATCCTATACTTTCCTGTTAGTATTATAGATAATAATAACCATAATAGCAGCAACCCAGCCTGGTAGTCAATGTAATACTCAGGTAGTCCTGTATACTAGCCAATGACGAAGAATCTTTCATTTATTGTTTAAATAACCTACAAGATGGACAGTGTCATTACCCTCACTTTACAAACCAGGAAACAAACAGAGATTAAATAACTAGCTGAAAGCCACATAGCAAGGACAAAGGAGCTAGATTTAAGACTCAGAAGGGCCTACTACTCCAAAAACTGAGTTCTAACCTGTTGTCTATGTGCTTGAATCTTCTTAAGTAGTTCTGTGGACATTTGAAAAGGATAATTTAATTAACATTCTCATATGAAAAACAGTGTCCTAATTATTTAGGAAGGTAGTTTCCTATCATGTTTGTAGCTCTTTGGATTTTTTCCCCTGTGGATCTTTAAGTATTAATTTTATACTTTGAAAGCACTTATTAGGTTTATAAAATGTTTCTTGATTAAACAAAAAAAATGTTTTCAGTTGGGCACTGGTAGCTCACACCTGTAATCCTAGCTACTCAGGAAGCTGAGATCTCAGGATCACACTTTAAAGCCAGCCCCGGCAGGAAAGTCGGTGAGACTCTTATCTCCAATAAACCACCAGAAAACCGGAAGTGGCACTGTGGCTCAACTTGACATGGCTTGAGCTGAAGAGCTCAGGAACAGCAGCCCAGACCCACAGTTCAAGCCCCATGACCAACAACAACAACAACAACAAAGAATGTTATCACTAAAACAACATTATTAACTTTTTGTTATTAATGATGAACATTTTTTTTGGCAGTATTTGGATTTAGCTCCACAGCCTGGAAATCTCATTTATTCCTCCTGTCTTGTCCTCCCAAAGGCTGGCTTACATTCATGCACCATCACACTTGGTTCTGTCAAGGCTTTTAATTAACTCCCACAATTCTACAAATAAGAAACTGAGCTATCCCAAGTTCAATGAGCCATCACTAAAACATTAATGGCTTCTTATTTCTTCTAAATAAATAAATAAATACACACATGGTTCTGTTTAAAATGCTAGAAACTCCAGCTACTCAAGAGAAAGTAAAAGGATCTTTTTCTTGAGCCAAAGCATGAGACCTTACTGGAAAAAGAAACTAACACACAACAGAAAAGGTCCCTGGCTCAAATGCTATATAGTAAACATGAGGCTTTAAATACAATCCCCAATGACACCAAAATAATAAAGTCAGACAAAAGAGATAAATAAAAAAGGAAATAAATTGAAAGAATGGTATCAGCCCATGCAGGGATTCAACACAAATCAGGATGCTTTCAAACCTCCCTAATTTTATTTCTAGGCAATAAGTAATTGCTTGGACACTGACTATCTGACTTTCACTTAATTAGTCATAAAATATCACAGGTATGTTCCAATTTAAAGATATCCTTCACAAACAAATTTCTATTTAGAAATGTAGATATAGCCAAATGTATTGGTGCATGTACAAAATTCCAGCACTAGGGAAGCTGAGGCGGGGGATCTCAAGCTCAAGACCAGTAGGGCAACATTGCAAGATTCTGTCTCAAAAAAATAAAATAGCCAGGTGCCAGTGGCTTATGCCTGTGATCCATAGCTACTTGGGATGCTGAGATCTGAGGATCACAGTTCAAAAAGTCCTTGAGATTCTAATCTCCAATTAATCACCAGAAATCCAAAGTGGTGCTGTGGTTCAGTGATAGAACACTAGCCTTGAGTGAAAGAGCTCAGGGACAGAGCCCAGGCCCTGAGTTCAAGCCCCACAAGCAACAACAATAACAACAACAAAAATGCCAAGCACAATAATTCAAGCCTGTTAGCCTTGCTACTTGGGAGGTAAAGACCAGAAGATTGGAGTTCAAGGCCAGCCCACACATAAAAGTTTACAAGACTCTATTTCAACCAATAGCTAGGTATAGTGGCCTGAATCTGCATTTGAAGCTATCCTATCTTGGAAATTATCAATGCAGAAAGGAGCTGGTGAAGTGGTTCAGGTGGTAGAACACTTGCTTATTAGTAAGTGTAAATTTCTCAGTCCAAAACCCAGTACCACTCAAAGCCTGGAGGCTGTCCCTGAGCTTTTGTACTCAGGGCTAGCTCTCTACCACTTGATCCACAGCTCCACTTCTGGCTTTTTTTGTTATTTTATTGGAGATAAAGAGTTTCATGGAGCCAGGCACCAGTGGCTCATGCCTCTAATCCTAGCCACTTAGGAGGCTGAGATCTGAGGATTGCAGTTCAAAGCCAGCCTGGGCAGAAAAGTCCGTAAGACTCTTATCTCCAATTAACCACCAGAAAACCAGAAGTGGTGTTATGGATCAAATGGCAGAGCACTCGCCTTGAGCTCAAGAGCTCATGGACAGCACCCAGGCCCAGAGTTCAAGCCCAATGACTGACAAAAAAAAAAAAAAAATTTTTTTTAAAATAAAGAAAAAAGAGTCTTCATGGACTTTCCTGCCTCTGCTGTCTTCGAACCTTGATCCTCAGACCTCAGCCTCCTAAGTAGCTAGTATTACAGCCATGAGCCACCAACACCCAGCTCAATATATACTTTTTAAAAAATAAAATAAACCTGGTCATCAAAAACTAAATTTCTGTTTTTCCCTCAAGCAGAAGCAAAGGGTTTTTTTCAAAGTAATAGGGAATAAAAGCATTACCTAAAAAGCAAAAACTATTCAAACATCAAGATAAATAGAATAAGGACATGGGGTAAAAATAACAACGACAGAAAATTCAGCTTGTGCATTATATTATTTTTATCCTTCTATCTTTAATAGGATCACTTGTTTCCGTGACCAGTTTATTGATTATTTGGAGAGTTTATTTTTTAAAGACAAGACCATTTGTTTCCATTGTAAAACTATGAAATGTAACTTTCTTCAGAAGAAGTATTCACCTTCAATAACAACAGAGGAAATACAGAATTAAATCAAATACCATGTTTGAAGTATAAAGTTGACTAAGATCAAAGACTCCTTTGTATTTATACGTATTGGTCATTAAGTAAAGAAAACAAGCTTACGAGGTGTTTTGGAAATACTAAGAAATAAACTTGCCAGGCACCAGTGGCTCACACCTGTAATCCTAGCTACTCAGGAGGTTGAGAACTGAGGATCACAGTTTGAAGCCAGCTCCATCAGAAAAGTCCCCATGAGACTTTTACTCCAATTAACCATTCAAAAACCAGAACTGGAGCTGTGGCTCAAAGTGGTAGAGTGCTAACCCTGAGCAAAAGAACTCAGGGACAGTGCCCAAGCCCTGAGTTCAAGCCCCACAACTGGCAAAAAGAAAGAGGGGAGGGAGAGGAAAGAAAAACAGAAGAAACTTAAGGTAGTTTTTCTGGGTGTTATTTAGGAACAGCCCTTAATCACATTAAGGGATTATGTAACACAGCAATTTCAGTTTTAAGGATGTAATTCATAAAAACAAGCCTCATATATAAAGTCTTACTAAAATTATTTTTATTTTATTAGTATAAATTACTAGTAAGGCCAGGCGCCAGTGGCTCATGCCTGTAATCCTAGCTACTCAGGAGGCTGAGATCTGAGGATCACAGTTCAAAAGCCAGCCCAGGCAGGAAAGTCCACGAGGCTCTTATCTCTAATGAAAACCACTAGAAAACTGGAAGTAGTGCTGTGGCTTAAGCGGTAGAATACTTGCCTTGAGATGAAGAGCACAGGGATAGCTCCCAAGCCCAGAGTTCAAGCCCCACAACCAACAAAAATAAAATAAAATAGTATGGGCTTCATCAGAAACAAACAAACAAAAAAAGAATTTGATGAGAGACAGTCTTACCATGTAGTCTGAGCTGGCCTCAAACACAAAATTCTCCTGCCTTTGCCTCCAAAGTACTGA